GGCCGGGCGCGCTGCGGGCGCCGCGCGCTGCTGGCAGCCGTCGCTTGGACCGCGGGCTGGGTGCTGGCGGCCGCGTTTCTACTCCACGCGCGCCCGCCCGGCCTCCCTGAGCGCTGCAGCGACCAGAGGAGCCGGCAAATCCTGGCCGCGCTGGTAGGTTCCCGTTGCCGCTACTGCGGAGTCCCCGGGGTCGCCACCCCCCCCCCCACTCCCAACCTCGAACCCTGCTGGAGCCCACCGGCCCCGCGTCCCCGGGTGAGCCCTAACTGTGCGTGGATCGGGGACTCTCACGCCAGGCTCTCCTGAACCGGAACCTTCCCGGGCGTCTCCTGTGGGTACGCCCGCTGTCCCCTGTGGGTACGCTGGCTGTCTCTCTCCATTTCGCTGATATTGGTTCTTTGTGCCCAAACAGTTTTCCTGCCCAACTGCACCCATCACCCACTGATGGAAACTTTGCGGGTGCGGAGTTCTAAGCGACCGGGTCCCTGCGTCCTGTAGGGGGCAGCCGGGATGGGGACCACACCTCCGCTCCTCTCCAGTCCCCGGGCCCACTGACCCATTGGTTCTGTGATGCCAGCCCGGGCTGTGGTGTCCCTCCAACCTCGCTGAGCCCGCAGCAGAACAGCGGGGAGGGTCCCTCGCGCCCCCACGCCCTGTCTAGAGCTCCACAGTCGCCGTCCTTGGGCAGGAGTGGGTGCGCTACGCCTCTTACGGCGAGTCTTCCTGCAAGACCCAGAGCCAGGTGCACAACTAGGAGAAAAGGGATGCCTTGGCACTGTGGAGTGTAGCAGGGACTGGTCCTCAGTGGCCAAAACGTGTCTCCATCCCTAATTGATCCCAAACATCAGTAGTTCCGTAGTCTGCAAGTTTGGCTCAGAAGATTACGCACATCCAAGACTTGAATACATTTGCTGTTGTTAAGCGCAGCCCAGTTGGTTCCGACTCTTATAGTGACCCAGTATAGGGTTTCCAAGGAGCAGCTGGTGGGCTTGAACTGCCGACCTTATGGTTAGCAGTCCATTGCTTGTCCTACAGCGTCACACCAAGACCGTTGAATACATGCAAGAATCCCTAAAACCGCTTCCAAGAAAGGTGACCAGAGCAACACCTTAGGTTAAGTAGATTTAAGTGATAGCTCACCTCCTAAAACAGTGACCGTATAAGCAATTGATTTGCAAAGTCATCTATTTTAAGAAATCTTCAAGAAACATATGTGATATTTGCTGTCCAATTCCCTCCATATGGGTGGTATTTCAAGATGGTAGGGTTTCAGAACAAGGGACCAAAAAGTCTTTAAACAAATAATGTTCTTCTTTTAAAAGTGAGTCTGGAAAAATGAAACCAGTAGTGAGTGAAGTGTGCAAGCTAAAACAAGTAATGTTCCCTAACAATCTAACACAGGGAATTATGAATCCAGTAGTTCTCATTGCTTCTCTTGGTAGGACTCTTCACTGGGTTGGACTAAAAGGTTTTAGTAAAGTTGTTAAGAGTTCACAGCTTTTCTCAGGAACCCATTTAAAAACGCTGCTCAATGATTTTTTTCTTTGTTTTTGGGGAATTGATGGAGGAGCTCTGGTGGCATTGGGTCTGAATGAATCTGGAATCTGCTGGCTATCAGCGGGCTGTTTTTAAAAAACAAAACAAAAAAAAAAAAACCCACCAACTTGGTAGCACAGTTGTTACAATGTTCAGTTGCCAACTAAAAGGTTGGCAGTCGGAACCCATCAGTCCCTCCAAGCAAGAGTTGGCAGTCTGCTTCTACAAAGATTTACCACCTCAAAAACTCTATGGGGTCGTTCTGCTCTGTCCTCCAGGGTTGATACGAGTCATGGGTTTGGTTTTTGGTTTGGATTAACTAATTATAGTAAACAAAAATGGATAGTTTTCCAGGAAGGTGTTCTTATTTACAAAAAATAATATAATACAATTTTAGATGAAAATACAAAGCCAATACGTTGGTTCATTTCTTTACCTCTGGTTAAGTTGTGTGATGCTGTAGGATAAGCGCTGGACCGGAAGGTTGATTTCAAATGTAAGGTGGCGGTTCAAACCCATTAGCCACTCCTTGGAAACCCTAGACACTGTATAGTACAGTATACAGAGTTGCTATTGGAATTGACTTGATGGCACTTAACAACAGCAAGTGGGAAAGGCCTAATATGTAATCGAAGGAGCCCTGGTGGTGCAGTGGCTAAGAACTTAGCTGCTAATCAAAAAGATGTTGGTTCGAACCCACCAGCTGCTCCAAGGGAGACAGACGTGACACTTGGTTCTGGTAAAAATTGCAGCCCTGGAAACCCTATAGACATTCTGCCCTGTCCTGCTGCATTGCTGTGCGTCAGAATTGACTACACGCAGTGAGTTTGTTTTTTGTTTAACATATTACTGAAGTAATTGCTGCTCACAGCTTTCGGGAACTCTGTGGACATTGAAGCCCTTCAATGGCAGCCATATTGGGCCTGTAGCTGTGAAGTGTGTCCAGTTAGTTCTGACTCGTAGCAACCCTGTATAGGGTTTTCAAGGAGCAGCTGGTTTGAACCACTGACCTTGCGGTTAGCAGTCCACACCAGGATTCCTGGTTCACCATCCCTAAAGCTGGAGAGAGTTGCTCTGCCTCTGAAGGTCCTAAGTCCTCTTGATCACAGAAAACACCATTTAAAGGCTGTGTCTGGCTTCCTCAAAGGTGATAGTTGCTGTCTCAGGTGAGCTGAGCTGTAACTCTCACCTGTCCCACCTGTGCAGTGCTTCTCTGCCCATCTCTCCTGCCAGCATGGCCAGATCAGTAGTGCATCCCAGGTCCTGTGAACCAGCTCTGCTTAGCAAGGCCTGGCTTGCCCAGTGAGTCTAGGGGCTGCAGCCCCAAACAGGTTGGCACTGTGCTCCAAGCCAGGCTGAATCGTGCCTCTGTCTGCCGTTTTCTGTTCATTCTGCCGGCCTTTGTCCTGCTAATAGAAGTGGCTGCTAGTCTCCTGAGGGGCCCCCAAGCCCTCATTAGCTTTCACTTGGTGTGAGCCAGAAACACTATGCTGCCCCTGGAGACACACCAAGGAGGACCTGTGGAGCTGACTAGGCAGGGTCCCTGGGACTTCAAGCTCGAGTTTTCTGGACAGAGCACACACTGGGATCAGGAAATTTACAAGCTCTCTGGGACTTGGCTGCAGGTGTCTGGAGCCCCACAATCCCGGGACTGATATTGTAAGACTGGGCCAGGCTGCTGGGCATGGATGTTCACGGAGGACTTCTAGTGCCGTGGGCAGAACTCACACACACACATAGGATCAGGTAGTGTGCTTAGGGATGTCCCTCCTATCATTTCATTGCATCCCCTCACATGTGCTTTTATTGTCCCCCTTTACAGAGGGGGATACTGAGTCCCAGAGAGCCCGAGCTTACACAGTCAGGACAGTGGCTCCTGAATGTAAACCCGTGCAGACAGATGGAAGCGACTTTCCCCAGGACAATCAGTTATGACAACCCCAAGGGACAGCTCAGTCTACCACCCCCCAATTAAGTCTCATTCTCGCAGCATCTCCAAAGAGCCCTATGGACAGGTGTCTATGTCAGAGTCCGTGGGAGGTGCAAATGGCTAAGATGCTTGGGTTACTTACGGAAACTTTGGAAGCACAAGTCCACCCAGAAGAAAGGCGTGGTCATCTGCTTCCAAAAATTCAGTCACTAAACCCTGTAGCACACAGTTCTACTCTGACACACATGGGGTTGCCATGTGTGTCAACCCCTCCCCCCCCCCACACTAACCCACTGCCTTTGAGTCAATTACAGCTCATAACCACACTTTATAGGGTTTCCCAGGCTGTAAATGTTTACGGAGCAGACAGCTTCATTTTTCTCCTGCGGAACAGCTGTCTATGTTATTAGAAAGACCTAAACTCTCTTTTAGTTGTGGTTGTTGTGTGCAGTGGATTCCAACTCACAGCAACCCTATAGGGAATAGGCTAAAACTGTCCCCTAGGACCTCCCCTCTGGTGGCACAGTGGGTTAACACTGGATTGGTAACCGAAAGTTTAGCAGTTTAAACCCATCAGCAGATTGATGGGGACAAAAGATGAGGCAGTAAAGATTTTCAGCCTTAGAAAGCCCTGTGGAGCAGTTCGATTCTGCTCTGTATACGGTCACTATGAGTTAGAACCAGTGCACCAGAAGTGGTGGGTGGGTTGGCATCTTTTATGCTGTCAAGCAACTGGAGCATTGGAATGGCCAACTTTGGGGTTAGCATCCTAGTGTGGTGCTCTAGGGTAATCACTGGATGGCTCACCATGAGGCTGGTGGTTCAAACCCACCAGTGACTCCTCAGAGATCCTACACAGGGTTGCTATGAGTGGGAAACGACTCGCTGAGACTTAACAAGGCTGTAAATCTTTGCATGAGCTGAAAGCCTCATCTTTCTCTTATGGAGCAACTGGTGAGTTTGAACCGCCAACCCTGAGGTTCAAACCGACCTTGCAGCCCAATGCTTATCCTACAGCACCACACCAGGATGTAGTTGTCCACAGAAGGGAGGGAGTTGGGTGACTTTTTAGAATAAGCATTGGACTGCGAACCACAATGTTCGAACCTACCAGTTGTTCCACAGGAGAAAGATGAGGCTTTCAGCTAATGCAAAGACTTATAGCCTTGTAAACCCTATACAGGGTCACTTTGAATTGGAATAGACTTGATAGCACTTAACAACAGAACATTAGAGATTCTGTGTCACACGGCAGGCTTGACATTCTTTGTGGGGAAAGAAACTGCTGAGGCCCCAAGAGGACTCAGCATGCAGGGCACATACCCAAAGACGATGATTGTTTCCCTGAGTGTTCCCCGAGCTCCTCCTATGCACCCTTGACAGCTGTTCCGGGACCACAACGAGTTGCCTGGCAGAGTGGCTGGTTACTGTGAGATTCTGTGCCACCCAGCAGCCCGTGGAAGGACTGTTGTTATTGTTAAGTGCCATCCAGTTGGTTCTGACCCATAGCAACCCTGTATAGGGTTTCCAGGGAGCAACTGTTGAGCTTGAACCACCGACCTTGCAGTTCAAATGACTTTGCAGTCTGACACATTAACCCACAGCGCCACACCAGGACTCCGAGGAAGGACTACCACCATGAAATACAAATGTGCTTCATGCCTTGAGGAACTTAACGGTTCCTCAG